TTTGACTTGAATTGAGTCTGTATGTCCAACTGTTGAACCATCAATCTGTTCATTGACAGTTGGAACAAACTGTGTTTGAAGCTTTCATTGATGGTTGGAACAAAGCATGTTGCAAGCTGTGGGATCAAGCATGTGGATCACACAGAGGTTTGATCACTCATGCCGATCAAACTAGGGTCGGATTTTTCGGGCTTAGAATGCCTGAGTTGGGCAACCTCGATCCTCGGCTACCAACCAAGAGTTCTGTTTGATTTGAAGGGTGATTAATATTTTTGTGTTTCCTGAACTTTGGTTGAACTCTTGGGGGGTGATGAAAATGACAGGGACACTCATTCAGGAAGGCTGGCCTGGACTATGAGCTGGAGTTCATTAGCGAGTTGGATCAACAGCTCCGTGAGATGACAACCTGCATCCACAGTCCAAAGATTGCTTTTGGTGATTCTGAGTTGCAATGCAGGAGTGTTGATTTGAGACTTGCTCCACTTGGAACCAACATCTCGACCTGAATAATTAAAACATTACATATTTGGTGGTATGGGACATGCCATCCGGAAAGAACACAGTCAATAATCGGAGAATAGGTCAATTCAAACATTGAAGTTCAGCCCTGCCATTGCACTCGCATCAGCCCTGCTGAGGATGCCTTGAAGCGTGACATTTCCAGGATGCCCAAGGTGGATCTTTATGGCGCTGGGTTGCCCTGTCAACCGGTGAGCTCAGCTGGAAAGAGGAAAGGGCCGGCACCTGGACTGGATTGTCTTTTTTTAATTTTTGGAGAACCTCATTCATTGGATCACATGGTTTGATTCATTTAGAGTATTGGTTGTCCCAGTAAAAATACCTGTAACAGGTCAGTAGACAACCTTATTATTGGGGTTGGCACCCATGGTTACAGGGAACGGATACACCCAAAGTACTAGTCAGTTGGATCCATCCCCAGTTGAGGAAGATCCCCGGGCAAAATGCTATGGAGCATGCTTTGACATGAATGTAGACACAGCTATTTGCTGGCAGCTCGTGGGATACCAACTTGGGAGCGCCCAGCTGTTTTTTCCCCTTGCTGTTTTTTTGGATGGTGCCACGGTACGCTGCTTGGAGAAGACCCACCATTGGCTGAGATAGGAGGTTCTTGCGGACAACAACCTGCCGTTGGACATCGTTGGACGCTGTTGGAAGGCCCCCCAAAAAACAAGCCATCGAAAACCTTCAGGGCGAAAGGCCAGTATAAGTTCCAAGGCACCCAGACTCAAAACAAATAAGCCGGATTTTTAAAATGACTTGCAATCGGAGGTTCCAAGGAACAATCTGGTAATGTTGACCTTTGATGTATAAACGCCCCTAGAATAATGTCACTTTTTTCCTGCACAGATTTATAAAGGCCCCCAGAATAATGTCTTTTTTTTTTGGGAGGGGTAGTTGTAGTGGGATATTTTTTATTGTTATAGTTTTCTTTTTCCCTTTTGAGTTTGCTGGGATTTGCTTATCTTACAGGCTTTTGGATGGATATTTCTATTAAACAGTTGGAGATTTCCATTGAGATTTGATGCTTTTGGAGGCTTTTGGATGGAGATTTCTATTAAACAGTTGGAGATTTCCATTGAGATTTGATGCTTTTGGAGTCTTTTGGATGGAGATTTCCATTAAACAGTTGGAGATTTCCATTGAGATTTGATGCTTTTGGAGGCTTTTGGATGGAGATGTCTATTCAACATTTGGAGATTTCCATTGAGATTTGATGCTTTTGGAGGCTTTTGGATGGAGGGGGTAGTCCAGCAAGCAGCTTTCTGACATTATTTAGGGGGGG